GGGAAGTGGAGGAGGGTAGTGGGGGGTAAATGGTGATGGAAGGAGACTTGACTTGGGGTGTTGAACACACAATACAGTGTACAGATGATGTATTGTAGGATTGTGCACCTGAAACCTGTATAATTTTGTTAACCAGTGTCACCCCAATAAATTCAATACAAAGGAAAAAAAGATATCAACAGAATGACGAAAGCACAACATGTGCACTGAAGGGATAATGGCAAAGCACCAAGTTGAATATGCTTTGGCAACTCTGCTTATGCAGGAAAACTTTCCTCTGGACTGTTCTTTGTACCAGACGGTGATCTAGGACTATTTCCCTGTTCTCTGAGTATATTTACTGTTTTATACGTGGCTGTTCATCTGATCTCAGAATGTGCCAGGATATTTCATAAGCCCTGGGAATTCCTAAAACCAGATATCGGTAAACAGCACCAGGACAAAGAATTGGAAAATAAATAAAAAGGCAACCTCAAGGCTCAATAAATGAATCTGTGCAAAGGGTTAGATGAAAGGTCTTATCTAATGAGATTTTCTACCAAAGCCAGCCTACCTGTGATATCCCAGTACAGTTATAGAGGAACAGAAGACTCAGGAATACTAAACTCTAGGCACAATACTTCTAAAGTGGGTATAAAATATTAGGGAAGGAAAATACAAAAATAAAATTTCTAGGGAGCATAAGCTAAATCTGAACAGTATTTATTTACTAAAAACATGTTTTCAGTAACATGGCAATTCCTCACACTTGAAAGCTAGCTGTGTAAGTCAAAGACCTACAAAAGTTCTGGTTGAGATAGGATGAGATTTTTCCAGTGAATACATGATAGCATTATTGCTCTCACAGTGCTCTTGGAAAGATATATTTTATTGGCGTCCAAACAAAATAGACTTGCCAAAGCATATTCAACTTGCTTTGCCATTATCTCTTTAAGCTATATTGAATATAAAAAGTAATAAGAAAAAGGAACTCCTTCTGAGAAAAAATAAGACAGAGTTACCCCAACATATATATATTTGGATTTGCTGATTTTTAGTCAAGACCACCCTGGGTACAGTTTGGGGGGAAAAACTTAAAGCAAGAAGAAAGGAAAAGATGGGGGGTGGGAGGGT